GTGGGTAGATATTACAGCGTATAAGTGGTAGAATGCGAGGATTGATGTGGAGAAGTAGAACAAGGGGTTAGAAACATAGTGTCAAAAAGAGGATCGACATATCAAGTCAAGTCAGCTATGTTAAATATTAGGCTAATATGGCGGATACCTGCTATGTTAAATATAGGGCTAATATGGGGTCAATTGCTTATAAGTTAAAATTAGGCCCCATGCCGCTATGTTATAAACACATGAAGGTCAAATATCATCTTATAATGCACCAAAATGATTCCTACTCGCCTTCTATGCCACCAAATCAACAATATAAGCACAAGTGTGTCACCATCTCGAGAAACATGTAACTGCCTAAATAAGTATCCATCTATCTCAAAAAGCATGTTATTATCTCGATAAGCATACAACCACCTCATAAAATGTGCATCTGCTCCAAGAAGCGTAGAACCTTTTATAAGCAAGAAAATAAGTAAATAAAGTACACTGAAATGTGTAAGTATATTGTGCAAATACACTAAAAACATGTAAATATATTGAAAGGTGTATGAGTACAATATGCAAATGCACTAAAAAAATGTGAAAGTGTATTATATAAGTATATCGAAAAAATGTGGACACCATTTCAAAGAAAAGTCAAAGTTTATCGCATGTGCTCCAACAAATGTGCTAAAAGCTCAAAAATTAAGAATACTACGCAGGGTTAAACACAAGTTAACTAAAAATCCCATTTTTCAAATTAAAATACTCGTAAGTGCTCCGACAAAATGTTTTAAACGCTCAAATACAAAATATGAGAATGTGGTGCATGGATCAAAGCAAGTTGAATTGAAATCTCCCTCATTTTAAAAAAAGTACAACTTCTCTACATAGCTTAAAACCATTTTAAAAAATTTAATGGCCTTTTTCGAATTGAAATATTCACATGTGCTCTGATATATATATCAAACCCTGAATTTCATATCCTAGAATATTACATAGGGTAAAATGGAGTAAATCAAATTTATCCTACTTTTTAAGAAAAAATTATGATCGCTCTACTCTTTTAAATTTTGTATGTCTTTTTAAATCCAAAACATACACATTTGCTTCGACTGATACATCAAACTCCTAAATTTCTAGTCGAACAATATTGTGTGGGTTAAATATAAAGTGAATTAAAATTCCCTTGCTTTGAAAAGCATGCAACCGCTCTACAAAACTTCCAATCATTTTAAAAATCATAAACTCTTTTCTAAGTTCAAAATCACCCGCACAAGTGCTCCAACCAAATATACCAAACTCCTAAACTTGAGGCTTGAGAATGTTGTGCAGGATAAAATGTAGAACATATTTAAATTGTACTCATCTCGAAAATATGCAAGTATGTCACACATCAACATGAAAAAGTATGTAACTGAATATTAGATACTAAGGAAGATGAAAGATATATGCATAAGCTATGAGATATAAAAAAAAAAGAATTTAATTTAAGTGAAGTGTATTAAGGATGAAGATTAAAAAGAGTTTTTATTAGAAGAGGATATTCAACAAAAATGGATGAGATATTTAGACAAGCTTTTCAATGAAGATTATGAGAATACGATTGAATTTAATGAACTTAATACCCTAAACAAAAAATAGAGATTTTTATTATTATCATCGTATTAGCAAAATCGAAGTTAGAGAGACTTTAAGGAAAATGAATTGTGGAAAAGTAGTTGGACCCAATAATATTCCAATAGAGGTGTGGAAATGCTTAAGAGATGAAGAAATTTCTTGGCTTATAAACTTTTAGATATAATTTTGAAGACCAAAAATATGTCAGATTAGTGGAGAAGAAGTGTTTTGATTCTTATTTTTTAGAATAAAGGTGATGCACAAGAGTGTATGAGTTATAGAAGAATTAAGTTAATGTGTCGTACTTTAAAACTATAAGAGAAGTCATATTAAGGTTTCTCAAAATCAATTTGGATTCATGTCGGGTAGGTCTACTATGGAAGCTATACATTTATTAAGAGGTTTGATGGAGAAGTAAAGAGAGAATAAAGAGCATCTACATATGATATTTATTGATTTAGAGAAAGCATATGATAAAGTTCTAAGAGAAGTGCTCTGGAGAGTCCTAGAAAAGAAATGAGTTAATAATTATTATTTTCAAATCATTAAAGATATGTGATGTGGACATCGACCAGAGGTTCAGACATGTGTATCGCCGTAGGCAGCGCAGATCGACGGCCGCGATTCAGAGTTTATATTTCTAGATATTTATGTATTTCTTTTATGCGTTTTTCTTTTTTATTTCCTATTGTACCCCTAGTATGAGCTGAGTCATGAGTGTAGCCCCGAGGGCAAAAGAGTCATTGTATTTCTTTTTTATGTTGGGACCTATATATAGGTCATTTCATGTTGTATTATGGTTAATGTTGGATTAATAAAATTTTCTGAAATTCCTTTTGTCTTCTTGCTTGAGAGCTTGAGAGAAAAGAGAGAGGAGGCCTTGGTGAGGCTCCGGCCGCAATACCCAACAGCCCGCTCCGGCGAGCTCTTGGTTTTTCCTTGTAAGTTCACTGTTTCTTCCCTAATCTTACTTGAGTAAACTTTGTGAATCTTAATGAATTTCATGTGCAATCCTTGAATGTTTCACATCAATATGTATGTAGGAGCTATTACTTGTGTTCAAATACAAGGTGGTTTGACCAAATATTTTCCTATTTCACTTGGATTACATCAATGATTAGCTTTAAGCCCATATTTTTTTGCTTTAGTCATGGTTGTTCTTACTAGACATTTACAATAGGATGTTCCCAGGTGTATGCCTTTTGCTGGCGATAATCTTCTTGTTGATAAGACTAGAGAGAGAGTTGAAAACTTTAATTATGGAGGTCAACCTTAGAGTCTAAAGGTTTTCATTTAAGTATATTTAAAACTGAATACATGGAGTATAATTTAAGTAATAATAGTTCTAGTGGACGAACTGTGACTTCAGACAATCAAGTCATTAATAAGAGTATACATTTTAGATATCTTGGATCTATTGTTCAAAGTGATGATGAAATAGATGAGGATATTATTAGTAGAATTCAATTTGGATGGTTGAAGTGGAGGAATGCATCCGGCCTATTGTGTGATAGAAAAGTACCGCTCAAACTTAAAAGAAAATTCTATAAAATGATGGTGTAACCTGTAATGCTTTATGGCACAGAATGTTGGCCATTAAAAGAGAAGCAAGTGTTACAGAGATGAAAATGTCAGGTGGATGAGTGGCTTCAGTCTTAGAGACAGAATGATGTGAAAGGGTTGGATTAGCTCCAATGGCATATAAGATTAGAGAGAGTCATCACTCGTCATAGATGGTTTGAGCAGTAAACGTCGGTCTTCTGATGACCTGGTTATGATAGTAGATGTATTCGATTTGGCCTATGTTAAGAAAGATAAAGGTAGACATAAAAAGACTTGGCTAGGAAATATTAGAAATGACTTTTTTTATTAAATTTAAATGAGAATTTAATTCTTAACAGGACACTATAAAAAAATGATTAATGTAGCCAACCAAACATAGTGGGATAAAGGCTTGATGTTGTTGTTATTGTAGTTGATGTATTAAGAAGCAATTTAATTTAAAATTATTTTAAGTTAATTATTTTAAGGATAACATATTTTTAATTATTAAGGATTTTTTTATAATGATCCGCATGAGTTTTTGTCCCTATAGATAAAATCCTAGTGCATATTTCTTATTGAATAATTATATAATGTATTTTTTCAATAAATGGATTCCCTAGTTCTCTCTCCCTTTCTTCAACATTTCTCTTTCTTCGACACCATTTCTTGTCCTTTCTCTCCCTTATCTGCCATATTTCTCTATCAGTCTATCTTAATCCCTCTTTGCTATTCTCTCTCTATATCATATCTTTCTCTCCTCATTTCTCTTTCTCAAAAAAATCTCTCAACATCACCAGCATGGCTCTAGCTATATGATTAGTTACCAATTGTACTTATCATTTATGATTTTTTTTATTCAATATAAATCTTAGATCAATAGTAGCATACTAAAACTTATCTCTTTACAAACCTACATATACAATGCCCAACATGCTCTTCGTAATCAGTTGACAACTTAAAAAAAAAACGATCAATGCAATATCAAAGAATTGTTATTCACAACCTATGTGCAGACATGGAAAATAATTGACCGAACGGTTTAGGTTTAAGCCAGCATTATACTTCATCATCTAGAGGTTTATAAATTTTTAAAAAATAGGCAATGATAAATTAAGATATGTGGTGGGAAATTACTTCCATTCTCCATCATGAAGGGAGGTAAAGTAGGGAAAATAATTAAAAATGATTTGAATACTCTTATTTTTTTTCCACTAGTTGAACGTATTATCAATTCTAACATTGTTAATTACCGTCCAAAGCAGACAAATTAAATAATTGTTCCCCAATACAAAAGTGTGCATGATAATCCAGAGGTAACACAAGTTATAGGATAGTGCTATAGCAGTTGAATTTTCAAAACAAAAACAAGTTTCACATCATTCAATGGCATTCAAGTAGAGGAAAGCCATCTATGCTGATACGACTGGCGCAAAGGAAGCATGCTTAAGGAATTCTTAAAGATGAATTGAACAAAAATCATGAGGTCCCCCAAGCCAAATTTGGTAGCTAGTTCCTTTAATGAAATCAGATGAATCGTGAAAACATGAATCTGATCAAGTTCTCCACACAAATGTTGATGTGGATCTCAATCACAATTGTTACACGATAAAGTATAGTATAGCAGCATTTCAGTACCAGAAAGCACTTTAAGTTTGAAGAGGTAAAATAATTCGTTTCAAAAACAGTTATTTTCAGTTCAGCTATGATCTAAAAAGATCATACATATATCCACCTCCTAAAAGAACAAACATTCCCAAAGTGGATCCTTATCTCAATTATCCAGCATGAAACTAATAATAAAATTTAACACCTAAATGCTCTTGCAAACTGCAAAAGTAATAAGGGTAATAGTAAAACTTACGAACCTTTCAAACTCACTAAGAGGCCCCAGGGGAAAAATTTCATCAACACCACGACGACCTAGTCGTACTTTGGATGCAAAGAATGGAAGTTCTGTAACCTATAAAAGAATAACAGGCTATAAGCAAAAAAAAAAAACACATAACAATCTGAATACCTCTGCCAAAATAATATAAAGAGACCAGACCTGGGATGCTACAAATGCACACTCTACAACACCAGCATCCCCTCTCAAAGCTCGCATACATGCATCGGCAAATTTGGCTGCTGCAAATGCCTGGGCTTTTTTTTTTCATCATTAAAATATCACAAAATATCTAAGACCAAGGTGGAAGTCAAACAGATAAGAGAAGGGGGAAATACCGACCATTGAAAGTGTTGCAGAACCTGCACCAGCTTTTGCCTGGAAAAATAAAAATAAAAATTCGTGTTAGTTGGATGTGCACAGGTCCCTACAGAGAAGTGAGAACCATAATTCATTTATTCAAATATTATTAGCATTAATACAATTTAAGCTGAGGCATTATAGGGTGCTGGTATATTGAAAATTATCAGAACCTCTGAATCATTTTTTATGTGTTCCTGGTCAGTGTTTAAAACAGCTCACAAGACAAAAATAATGAATATAAGTTGTTTTAAACACATGACGGAATAAGAATGATTTTTAGAACGACAAAGCCATTCTATGAAAATGAATTAGAAAAGAACAAATCAGTCTGCTAAATCATATAAAAAAAAAAAAAAAAACTGAAATCCGAGGACATAGCCACATCAAACCAAACAATAGAATGTTACCCAAAAACCACAATTTCACTAGCACCATTCTTAGTGCATAATCCAGTAAAAATGATTTCAGTTGTTATTTTATCCCTCCCTTATTCACCTTCAGCAATTTCCAGGATTATGGTTTCAACAAATTTTTAGATTAAAGTAGAGACTCATCAGTTAACAGCCAAGTAGCAATTCAATATTTGAGATAGAAAAAACATTCATAAGCAGAATCCCAGTTCCATGGACTCAATAACCAAGAGCTTCTCCAAAGAGATTTTTAGAAATAATGTAAGAATGATTAAAGAATGCAATATCAATATTTAAACACTGGGACAGTAAAATAACCTAACAACTTTTATTGTATGATATATATCGGTTACCTCAACCACTTCAGTTCCTCCATTTTGTATGCGAGTGGTGAGATTGCTAAGTTCTTCTGCAGTGAAAGTGCATGGGGGTTTGACCTGGAAAGATCAACTGTAACGATTGTATTCAACAAATGAAATGAATGTACTACAAGACCAGTTTTTCACAAAAAATAGGAATACAGGGAACACAAAAATCCATCCTACCTGTGATAAAAGGGGCAATATCGTAACCCCGGCATGACCACCAACTACAGGTACGTCAACTTCCCTAGGGTCGATGCCAAGTACCTCAGCCTATCAAAAACATCAAATGAGCAAAGCCACATTATCAAATACTTTGTCAGAGTTTACCTATATTCTTGCGTCATATGAACAGCAAAAAGACTGACAATATTCTTGCGTCATACTTATAAGCTAATAGAACATTCTAGAAGCTACTTGTAACAAACTTGGATAAACTACTCCTAAGGAATACTATAACTAAAATGTTCCGCATCATAGATGATATTAGAATTTTGGAATTTAGTAAGCACACTACACTGCACTGAAAAGGCAGAGAACTGCTAACAAGGGATGCATACCACAAAAGTATTGGCTCTAACAACATCAAGTGTTGTCACTCCGAGAAGTCGCTTAGTATCATAAGTACCAGCCTTCTTGAAAACCTCTGCCGCAATGGGAACTGTAGAGTTCACTGGATTGCTTATTAAGTTGACAACTGCGCTAGGGCAAAACTTCGCAACTCCTTCACAAAGTGTCCGGACTATTCCAGCGTTTATTTTAAACAAATCGTCCCTAGTCATCCCAGGTTTCCTAGGGACACCAGCAGGAATGATGACAAGATCCATTCCTGTTAGTGCATTCTCCAGTTGCGGCTGACCCAAAAATCCACGAACCTATACAGAGAAAATAATAGTTATGAGCCGAAACGTATCAAGAAAATAATCACTTGTCATATACTATCACATCAAATCCAGCAAATGATAGTGAAGCATTATACTCAATCAAATATAGTTGGCATAACGTGCCATCCACTGTTAACAGCTGCAAGGACTACATGCAGTGACAGTGTTGGAGTTCTACATTTACTGAGAAATATGGCTCTAAAAGCGGTAGAACAATTGCAAGGTTATAGATAACTCAAATGACAAAGCAAAACTTCAGCATAGTAACAGGATCAATCTGTTGCAATATGGATTAATTAGGGAAAACAAATAACCAATAATGAAACTAAACTTTTAACCACTAAGAAAAACAAGCACGGGAGAAAATTACCACAGCACCAGTGTCCATGTGGCTAATGTCTGCTGTCACCCCAGGAGAATTGACAACATCATAGAGATGGAGAAGTGATACCAGCGGGTTCATCTTCATAAGCATGGCAAGGGGCTGTCCAATCCCTCCAGCAGCACCCAATATGGCCACCTTAAATCCAGGTGCTCCACCTTTTGCCCTGCAGTTTTCTCTATTCAGAGACGAACCCTCCATCTAAAGCCATGGATGCCATGGAACATATTAGGATGTAGATCAAGTTTTGCAGTTAAACATATTAATTCAATGGCAAAAACGTTACTATATAAAATCGATTCAGTAAAAGAAAGCCGTTAAATGTCCAAACAAAAAAAAGCATGGCTGGAAGTTAGTTACTCTACACTCTTTAAGCAAATAAACGTTAGAAAATCACCAGCTACAAATGCCAAGGAAATATGAAAATGCTCAAAATGTTCAAAAATAACCCAAACTCTTTACCATAACCGTCACCCTTTTGTTAAGTAATTAATAATGCTAATTAAAAGAAAAACATGCTTATAAGATATTGATATTTAATAATTGACTATTTCATCTAAATCTTCTAGACCATTGATTAGTCATTATATTGTACATTTATTATAACAATATCCTAACTTAGTACTTATTTAGGCTTTGTTTGGTTCTGTTTTTGCTTACTTAAAAAAGAGTTTTAGAAAAGGATGTTGAGAAAAAGAAGTTTAATAAAATGAAGTTTCATTAATGATATATCGTTTGAGTAATATTTCTCTTAAGTGCTTATTAATACTTGAAAGCACATTTAATTGTTTGTTTAGTAGTTCAGCTTTGACTATTTTATTATAAAAAGATTAAAGTACTCATATATAAAATTTAAGTATATGTAATTAATTTTTTTAAAATTTTACAAAGTTTACATAAATTTATATATATGAATTTATAAAAAAAAAATATTTTTTAATGGAATAAATAATAACAAAATACTTTAACTAAAAAATGGTGCATCAAAGTCTTCCTCTGTGTCCGGTGGTGTAGAACCATCCAATCTAATATATGTATAATCATACAAATTGATGAAAGCCTCAAATATATAAAGCCTCAACTATATGAAGCATCTTACTCGCGTAAATATCAAAGCTCTATGCCCTTTTGACGTGCGAACGTGGATGGGTTATTTAGGACATTTCACTTCCAAAACGGTGATTTCTAACCGCGTAAGCAGATGGGAAAAGACTTTCGTAACGACCCTGAAAACGAAGTTTTTGAAAAGGAATTACTGTTAAGTTTTGATTCCAAACATTTTACACTAACTGCTTTCGACGTTTTTAAACAGAGAACGAAGAATTTAAGTCCAATCAAACGAGGCCTAAAATTGATATGTAAATAATTCCGTATAGCTTAAGGGGTTCCAAAGATTGTGGTTTCACAAAGGACTTAAAAAATCTAATGGTAAATTAATTTTAAAGATATTTTAATCCTTATGTCACAACCCTAATTGGAATCATCCAAAGAAGTAGATAACCTTGAAATAGTCTTTACAAGCTTGTCCATTCCGGTGCATGATCCTCTAGGATTCATGGATTTCAAAATTTCAATGGAAACCCCAAAGTTATTATTTTATAATTCAATCAACCAAGGTTTCTAGACTAGTGAAAAAGGCCTTTAATTGAACAATTTCAACTCAATTAAAATACTTAGGACACATCAAATGCTATATTTTATTGAGATTTGAGTGCAACCCCACTATTCTACTTGAGTCTGTCCAATTATGACATTCCGTAGGGGTTGAAGGAAATCCTAGTAGAACACTAGAGTTGCACAAATACCAGTCTAATATCAAGGTTGAAATCAAATCTTAGTAAAATATCAGTTGGACTGCTCTAATATAATATCAGGGTTACACCTACTGATGGGGACATCAGATCATCATGGAAAGTTTACCAGAGACGTGGCCGCCGATCTACGGCCACGATCGAGTCGTTATATTTTTGAGTCATCGATGTATTTTATTTTCATGTATTTTGTTATTTGCTTATGTGTGTTTTATTTTTTCCCGTTGTACCCCTCTTATGGGAGTTGTTGTTTGTAAGCCCAAAGGGCATTAGTGTCATTTTATTTAGAGTCATTTGTATGAGGCTATTTAAAGCCCCCCTTTATTTTATTTGAGGTTAATGAATGATTATTAAGAAATTTTTCTGCATTGGTGTTTGAGAGCCTTTGAGAGTCTTTGGAGAGTTTTGGAGAGATCCCTTGAAGAGGGAGATTGGCGTATCACCCACCAACCTTGGAGACGGCCGGGTTCGTGGTTTTATCTTATTCTCCTATCATCACCACCATCGTCGAGATTCCAAAACTTCCCACCCATCCCCTTCCCATTCATGGTCAAAACCCCTCATCTGATCCCTCACCCTCCTCCCCACACCCCACGGCCAAACAACACCCACCTCATGCCGCCGGCCAAGGCATTAACCGCCGGCTTCCCATCCCCTTTGTTGTTTTCTTGTATTTCCTAATTTAAGGTTAAGATTAATTTGGGTAATTTGAAATTCAAATACTCCAAAATTTGAATTCAAATTGTTTCCTAAATTAACTCTTCTATTTTAGGAAAGTATGTGATTTAAATCTATTTTGAATTTTAAATTCAAGAGGATTTAAATTAAATATTTCCTAATTCTAAATCCTAAATTAGAAATCCCCAAATTGCTCTCAATTAATCCCCCATCAGCCATGTATGCCGCCGGCCCCTATGGGAACCGCTTAGGATTTGTTTCTTAATTATTTCCTAATCCCCTTTGGGAAATAATTAATATTTCTTTCCCCCACCTCCACAGCCGAAACTCCCCATCTCCTTTGATTTAAATTATTTCCTAAGTGAGCCCTTGCTTTAGGAAATATTTCAAATTCCCACAATCCCCTCTTACCCGATAACCCCTCCTTGCCATATCCAGCAATTTGATTTCCCAAATCAAAGGAAATTGTTTGGGATTTCAAACTTTCCTCATCCAGATCCCGCCGCCTCCCCTTCTAGCCTTCTCTTTCTCTCAATTCCTCTCATCCCTCTTCTCATATTTCAACGTGACTAGAAACCTTGATCTCCTCCCTCTACTTCTTTAATCTCCTCCACATAATCTGAATTTCCATCAGATTTTGGGTTATAAAACTCTGAAATTATTTTCAGATTTCTTAACGGAAGATTTAGAGCTTGCTCTCCCATCAAGAGAAACTTCTTTCTCTTTGTGACTACTCAAGAGACGCAACTTATTGGCTTTGATGGAAGCCATGGGTGAAGACTTCGAAGGCATCGAATGGAGGACTTCCATGCTTCCTTAGCAAAGGTTCTCCTTATCACTTGCTTCAACTTCTTCTAAATCTAAATTCTCAATTGGTTAGATTGTAATCACGAAAGCTCCTTCAAATTGCTCTTGCCAAGCTTAGTCATTTGTAGGAATTGAGTGTAATCTTCTATGCATCCTACGTCTCGTTGTTAGATTAGGGATTTAATTTGAAGCCTACTGTTTGCGTTGTGTGATTTTCTTATTTATTTTGAAAGTTTCAAAGTTCAAAGCATTAAATCTCACTTAAGCAAATCATTTCCTTATGGGTTTTAAATCTTCGTTGAGAATTGCTAAGTAATTGTTTCCTGGATTTATTCTAACCTAAGAGTTGTGCAATGCCTAAATGACTACATAATCATCGCATCTAATTAGTCCTGCATCACCTACTCTTCAAATAATACTAGAGTTGCACAAAAACTCTTGTATAATACTAAGCTTGCAATCAAGCTGTTACATGAAAAATATGTTGAATAGATCCTAATAATATATTCCTATTGCACCCAAAACAAAATTCCTATTGCACCAAGCTCAAGTATACCATGATTGCATCAAACCCTTATTATGATATTAGGGTTATGCTTAAACTATGTAGTATAATAGCATGGTTTTTGGTCTAACAAAAAAAAAAAAAGATTAGCCCACAGGAAACTTTAATTAACTGTTTCATATCGAGATTTAGTTAGCAAATCCTAGTAAGGGACCCCGTAACTACAGTGAAGAAATTTAAGATTTCAAGTAAGAGAGGAGCAAGAGAGTTTACCCAAAATTAGGGAGATAAATTTTTTATAATATACATGATTACAAAAGAATTTAAGGGTAAATTTTTCATATCATATATAGCCAAATAAAATTTTTTGGTGCGAGCAGCACCCACAACTCCCCTAATTCCACCACCACCTATAAGAATCCTGTGTAGGATTTTGTCCAATTTGAGAATAATACAATGATAGAAATGATGTATAAAGTAAAAAAATGAATTAAATTGTTGGATAAAATGCCAATAAAGCTAGTTTTTTTAAGTTTCATCATAGGAACTTAAGGAGTTAAGAATATCTTTGGTAAAGCTAAATAATCAGTTCCTCTCTCTATAAAGAAGTAAACATAAAGGAGTTATTTAGCAATTTCCAAACTAATTTTAGCTTTTTGCAACATCATTAAGCTTCTCGTAACCTATTTCCTCTTAACTAATTTTGATTTCTTCCGTGGGAATGAACCCCTGAATTTCATTTTCCCTTCGAAAGTTATCTGTGCCTACATTTATCCATCACTCTAATTAATACTTTCAAAGGGTTAATGTACACTTACAAGTCTTTTGGCAGTGTAGAACTTTATCAGAACCCTTTAAAAGTGTCCTGAACAATAAGAACTTAAAAATCCTCCTGCCTTAAGTGTCCACCCCGACCACTGGGGTCTCAGGCTGTGCCGTGAAGGCCTCTACCCAAAATTCAGTATGAAACTCATCTTAAAAAAACAGTTCATGTATTGATATTTCCATAAAACGATCATTGTCGTGCTTTCCTTTTTAAAAATTATCTACCCTGCTAGGGTTCCAATCATGTATTTCCGATTAATATCTTCTTTAAAAAAAAAAAAAAAAAGAACATTCTAAAGACCTCCACCCCAGGGAGCCAGCTGGGAGGTAATAAATTGAATTCATTCCAGCATAAACCAAAAAGATATGCACCAAACTACCCTCTTTATACTTACAATGGCCAAAACATAGCAAATCGAACACAACCAATAAATCAGAAAATAGAATAACAATGACAAGAGAGAGAGAGATAACAGAAATCACAGGAAATAAATTAAATTAAAAGAAAAGGGAGAGATTCGGAGAATTGCAAACCTGGAAACTTGGAGGGTGGAGATGGGCGGAGATTCTGGCAATGCGTTGCGAGGCCTCGTGATTTGGCTGCATTTTCAAATATCCAAAACTCAAAAGAGATAGCTTTTACCCTCTCCCCTTAAATTGGATGGGAGTTATAGGAAAGAGATAATTGGCAGAATGAGATAATGGAAGAGTGAAGCTCGTTAAATCCAACTATTTCGAATATGTGGAGTCGAGACGGCCTTAGCCTTATCTGCAATGTGCAGAATTCAGCGTCCGAAGGGTTCTTTTCTTTCTCGTTCCATATCCATCGCTTCGTTGTCCTTTTTCTTCGAAAGATCGCTTCTTTAAAAAATGCCTAATTTTTCCACCGATAGTCTCATTACAGACCTTTGAGCCTCTGAACCATTGATAGACATGTGAATACAAATAATACGAAACAAAAAGCCCTTAAAATTAGCTTCTGAAATCATTTTCACAACCATAAAATTCTCATCTTAAATCATATTTTTATCTAATTTGTTACCTACAAAAGATATGTAATTTAATTCAATCATATTTTTATCTCTAACGTAGTTTTGGATAAATAACTCACTCATGAGAAATACAATTAGCCTCAGATGATTCAGAAAATTAGCCGCACCACAAGCCTTTCATATATAAATCAGCTATCAAGCAAGCCCATCCATTAAGTTAAGAGACTTCCAGAGTAGAATGACAACTTCATCAGGGCCAAGCCAACCTTTTCAACCCAAGTCGGTCAAGTTCTAAAGTGAACATTTTATTTATAGTACTTCTTAAGAATAATTTAGTTACCTTTGTACTCAGGGAGGCTTCACCATGGGAGCCTTGGGGGCAGGGTCCTAGTGGCTATGTGGTTAATGACTAATTAAGACTATTTATTACTCCTTAATTACCATATAAAGCAAATTAATAATATTAGGTATATTTTATTGCTATCCTCAACCCCGCTGCCTTTCTTCTTTCACACGTGCACTAGCTAAGGATCGAAGGCACTTCATGCGTGCACATATTGATGGCATGGCAAGACCATATTTCTATTCCGTTGCTGGGAAATGTCGGGCTAATGAAAACTCATGATGAAGAGACCCTCAGTTCCTTTGAGGGAAGTAATGTTAAGTGCTTTCTTTGTCCAATAATGTTGATCATTTACTCACAGCAATGCAACATGTCTAGGTTAATGATGAGTTCATCCATCATCAAAAGACAGTATCCCTCGATGTTGCTGAGGTCGGAAGAAGAATTGCTCGTTATGTCATGAGATTTTATTGGAGGGAGTGCTCTTTCTGATGGAGGATATGTTAATTCTCGAAGACTCAAAGTCATCAACCCAGGAGGATTTCTTATGATTTCTACACTTAACTCCGTATCAATGATGCACCTTGACAGAGTTTGAAGTGGATCATCCTAGTTATATTACACCTTAGAAATAATTTATCTAATTTTGTACTAGCTTTCTAGAAAGTTCTAGAATATTATAAGAATATGTTATATATGTGAGTTGTAGTAGAAAGGTAAAAAAAAAAAAAAGAATATCATATACTTCTGAGCTTTGAGCTTGGTTTGTTCACCAAATTTGTGTCTTCCTTTTTATATTTTCTTCTCCTCAAAGATCCACTACATCAAGTCTAAACTAAGTTGACCTGAATCAATCCAAATCAACTTGATCTTAACTGGCTAAGTCAACCAATAAACTCATCCCGATCAAGCTAGTACATCTTATCAAGCCTGTCATAGTATATCAACGAGTGGACGACCTCCTACAATTCAATGGAAAACTATTACAAGTGTTGTGTCCTAGAATATTCACGGTGACAGAGAAATATAAAGTTTAACGTCTTAGCTTGGTATGAAGATTTAGCACGCATACAGATAAAAAGAGAGAGTGCAGTGTTCACAGGAGACATCAAGATTTTTATGTGAAAAACCCTAAAAAGGGGGGAAAACGATGGAACCTAGCCCAGTTTGAATGAATACACTATTATTTGCAGTTGATTACAAATGAGGCCCTTTATTGGGAGAAAATTCATGGCTTTATGCAACAAATATACATCATATATAGTGTGTTATATGGTAAAAATAGGAAGAATCACTGTTGACGTGTTCGCTTGGTCAGAAGGTCCATAGTCGATGGACGACAGAGGTTAGTAGGATTGTAGTCGATGGGCGACGTAAGTCGGAAGGACTGTAGTCGGTGGGCTACGGAGGTCATAAAGACCGTTGTCTGGTGATGGAGGTCAAAAGGACTGTAGTCGGTGGGTGACGTAAGTTGGAAGGACAGTAGTCAACGGGTGATGGAGGTCATAAAGATCATTTTCTGGTGACAAAGGTCGGAGGGACGACATCAGGTAGAAGTCCAGTGTCGGATAGAAGTTCGATGAATGTCCGGCGACGGAATGAAGTACGATGACGGGTAGAAGTCCGACAAATTTTTGGTGACAGATAGAAGTTTGACATCCGGCAGGAATCTTGCAACTAGCGGAAGTCCATCATTGGGTAGGAATCTGGTGACAGGAGGAAGTCTGATGTCAGATAGGAATCCTACGACGGGTGCAAGTTCAGTGTTGGGTAGAATTCTGTCGATAGATAGAAGGCTGGCATCAGATAGAAGTACATCGACGGGCAGAAGCCTGGCGTTATGTATAAGTCTGGCGTCGGGTAGAAATACGACGACAAATGGATGTTCGACATATGGTAAAAGTTCGATGTCAGTCGGCGGTCGGGCAGAACTCCTGCGTTAGGTAGAAGTCCGGCGAAGAGCGGAGGTCTGACATCTGTTACAAGTCCGACATCAGTCGACGACCGAGCAGAACTCTGGCGTTAGGTACAAGTCCGACGACGAGCAGAGGTCCGACATCAGGTAGAAGTCTGATACCAGTTGCAGGTCGGGCATAATTTCGACATTAGATGACATTCGGGCAGAACTCCAATGTCGGTAGGCTGCCGGGTGAAAATCCGGCAGTGGTCAAGGAATATAGTTTTCTGAGAGTGGCATGACCTGTAAATAGAAAGAAGATCCGTGGTAAATTGGGAGTGGTTTGAATGGATGGCCGATGTGGATTCCCCTCAATCATGGACCATTTATTTGACATTTGAATATCTTAATGATATCATAATTTGATGATCTTCGGCTTGTTGGATAATTGTCTCATCGAGCCGCTCGATTTGACTATAAGAAGCCATATTTGAAAACTTTTTGATAATCGAAATTATTGTTTGAACCCTCCAAATGTGCTTCGGGTCTTTGAGTTGGACTCATTTGGGCTCGAATTGAGTTGAATTTGGTTTCGTTGGGTTCATATTTTTGAGACGTTCAATTCGACTATAAGTTTGCTAAAATCGGAGTTCAGATGGTCTCCGATTTAATTTTTAAAGTTTCCAATTCTGATTTTGCTTCGAGATTCGTGCATGATCAAGATAATTCTTTGATGATATATCAAAGCAAGTCATCAACTTCCGTTTAATTCAACAAGTTACTTTCTTCAGTATAACAACTAAAGAATTCACATTATGATTTCATTAAATTACCGGCTAATACACGCAGAGATTTAAGCTAAACATTTTATGGCAATATAGGTAGTCAATTCTATAGTGCTCGAGTCTTAACCCAAACTTATAAAAATACGAGATTAACGGCTGAGCTCAATAAAGAAGAGGCAATTTTTTGTGCTCAAACTTATTCCAATAAAATGCATTGTGCATCTCTCTCTTTGTGCTCATTTCATCATCTAAGTTCTCTCATTCTCTCTCTGGTTTGAGTTCCATGAATCTTGCGAACAAGAATATTTTAAAATTTGAAATCAACTATCTTCAAATCAGTTCATATATGATCAGTCATTTAAATCAATATTGAAGAAGTTATTTTCTACACAAACACTCAGCAAATTACGTAAGGAAATAAATAATCTATAATTTTTTATTATCCAAATTAATATTAACATAATGTTAATAAGAGATATAAGATTACCCCATTATAGAAGAGCCAAGGCCCCCAATGTTAAGGAAATTATGTATAAAATCAGCCATTCTTCATACATAATTTCAATTTTGAGTTTCATTAAAGAAAATAGTTACACCCAATAAACTTTAAAATAATAATAATAATAATAATAATAATAATAATAATAATAATAATAATTGATATGTTATCAAAAAAATTATCTTGATTGGCACGAATCTTGATGAAAATAGGAATTGAAAAGTTTAAAAATTATATCCGGAACCATTCGAATGCTGATTTTAGCAACTTGAATGCTGATTTCATCAACTTATAATCAAAATGAACGTTGCAAAGAGACAAACCTAACAATACTAAAATCAATCCAATATGAACCCAAATGGATTCAAATTGAGGGCATGAAGCCTATTTGGAAGCTTCATATCATTAATTGGATAACTAAATGATACCCAAATGTGACATGCTTATAGTCAAATCAAGCGCTTGACAAGACAAATCCAACGAGCTTAAGATAGTCGAATTTTGACATCATTAAAACACTCAAATTATTGATAAACAGTTTATAATCAAGGGAGTTAATAATGGTCATCCATTTGGAACACTCCAAACATGCCTTTGAACTTCTCCCTAGTTACTAGCCATGCCACTCTCACATTCCGCCTCAAAAATTATCCCACTATGTACTCTTACTTCCCGAATCACACTTTTTCCAGCTTCTATAATCCCAACCAACAATCATTATACTGCTCCTAATGTCCATTCATACCTCAATTCAAATTCCCCTCAACCAATACCACCAGTAAATCTACCTACATATGTCTCCTCTATTGCCACTGACAATTCTTCTACTACAACAGTCTCGCCACCTCAATCTAGTCGCCATCATATACTCACTAGTTTCAATTCAGACATCTCAAACCAAAGCAAGTGTTTGACTTACAACATATCACTTTACCATTGTCACCAACTCCCTTTTATAAAGCTAACTAGTATCTTGCTTGGAGATCTACAATGTCCTCTGAATTTCAAGCACTTCAACAATAAGGAACATGATCTCTAGCACTAAGAATCAAAACATTCTTGGATGAAAATAGCTCTACAGACTACAGAACAAAATTCAACTCAGATGGGTCTATTGCTTGATACAAAGTGCGACTTATGGCACAAGGTTTCAGAAAAGCATATAAAATTGATTATACTGATACATTCAGCCCAATGACAAAATTCCCTACTATCCATCTTATGTTAACT